GGGTGTAAGAAAATATGCTGTGCAGTCCATCCAGTGCAGATGGAGTTTGGAAGCTCATGGGGAGGGAGGTCCCATGAAGAGGATGAGCGAGTCCTGGGAACTCTTCTATTGCTGATTCAAGGATGTGCCATCATCTGCCACTTGGCCAGGGCTCCAGGGTGCATGTGGTTTCCAGCACACTGAACTAAAGCGTTGATGGATTGCTTGAACAGGTTTGCATGTTTCCACATCCTGTCTACCAGGTACTGACTGTGGGTCCTCTCTTGAGGGGAACTAATGGTGCATTGACAAGGGTCTGAGTTGTACCCCAGCTCTTGGTCTTGCCCATATTAACAGAGTCATCACATTCTGATCATCTTTTCCATGTCCAGGCTGACTGAAGGCTATATTCTCTCTATGTCCTTGGGTACAGTTCTGGATTCCCCTTTTTCCCCCTAGACAGGATCCTGTATGTAGTTTAGACTGTCCTTGATCTCACTGTGTAGCCTCTAAATTGTGATGATCTTCTGCCTCGACTTCTCAACTGCTGGGGTTACAGGTGTACACCACCAGGCCTATCTGGATCACATTTTATAATACAGTGTTAAAGCACATTGTAACACTAAGATTCTTATTGTTGGTAAAATGTTGAGATTGTTACAGTAATGAGAACTGCTTCTGAGAATAGTAGTGTCATGCTCTTACTCAAGGAGGTGTCATTTTTAGTTGTCTTGTTGCACCTTTTAAGAGTAAATAATTTCAAATGCAAAGGTAAGCAGATTTTAAAAAATTTGACTTACATGATTTAGTTTTATATTTAGGTTTAAGTGTGGGATTCTTATATATCACCAATATGAGAAGCCTAGTGAGCACAGGTATTGGAAGAGAAATAATGGAGTCATGAAGATCCTATTTTTCTTGTTTAATTGAAGATGTTTGTGTTGTATGGGTTAGTTTTATTTACATGTGTAAGATTTTTTAAAGAGCTGACAGCCATTGTGATCTTTTTTGTGAAAATGAAAGTATAATCTAGAGAATTGCTTTGTTTAGTAAATATTCTGTGTTAACTCTGTTTTTAAAAAATATTTTATTTTTGTTTAACATGTACAAACAAGTAACGTTCAATGTGATATTTTAGCATGTGCAATCAACATGCAGCAGTCAAGTCCAGCCTTTTTATTCATCTTATCTTAGTGTAATAATGAAAAATGTATGTTCTTCATTGCATTGAAAGTTTTAGATCCTTTACACATGAGTCTCAGCACTACCTTTGCAATCTGAAGTGTGGATAATCTGGTGAAAATCTTGTGGCTTCTTTTCTGATCTGCATTTTTAAAAAATCTAGTTAGTTGATTTTGGGTGTCATCATAATGCTGACTTTCTCTTGCCATTTTGGTTTGAGAAGGAGGAGTCCAAGGTTTGAAGAAAAAGCAAAACTGAGAATCTGTGCTTCCTTCTCAAGTTCTTCTGTGCTTCATTCATCGTGTGTGATAATTGGATGAAACCACAATTATAGTCAATAAATTGGTTTTGAAGTCTTTAACACCAGAATGTAGCTCTTAAGGTGGAGCTGTACAGAGAAGGAGCTGAACTGTCCATGTTGATTTTGAATGTTGGAATATATTTGTGCTGATTCTTGAGAAATTGGTATGCATCACACAGGCCATGCTTGTTTTTGGTGTTGGTGTTTTAGTTTTCAGTGAATACTATTAGCGGAAGAGGAACATTAAGCTAAGAATGAGAGTGTTTGCTCCTGTCCCTTTGAAGAATGGGGTGCAGCCATGGGAGTGATGGGTGGAAAAAGGAGATGTTGAGTATTTACTAACATGGCGATTCAGTAATATAACATATAGAAAAAGTGGTTTACAGAACAGTGATGTTGCAGAATCCTATGTGGTTAGAAGTGTTTATGTATAGAAAAAATATTGCAGCATGTTGATGGTGGTTATTTTTGAGCAAAAAAATCACAGGAGATTTTTATATTTTTCTTTTTTGCTTACTTGTATTTTCTATGTTTCTACAGTATACTTTTTTTCTTAACATAACAGAACAGAGAGGTGACTAAAATTCATAGTAACTTGTATATTTTATAAGTAAAGAGAAAATTGAAAGCTTCTAACACGATAATGATGAGCTAGAAATACCATTTAACCTGATTTGACCAGTATGTATTGTGTACACATATTAAAATATGATACTGTGCCTCAGAGATACATACAATTATTACTTTTTTTTTAAGACAGAATTTCATTGTATAGTCTAGACTAGCCTTCAACTCACCTTATGGCCCAGGCTGGTCTCAACTTGCTGTCCTCCTGCCTCAGCCTTACAAGTGTGTGTAGCCACTCCAGGCTTCAATTACAAATGTTAATTTTTATAAAAAAATAAGATGGAAATGTTGATTATCCTGATGTGTTCATTATCCATTATATAGATGTTTTGAATTTCCACCTTGTATCTCCCTGAGAATGTACAATTAAAACAATAATGCAGTAAATAAAAGTGAAGTAGAAAGAAACTCTTTCTGAAATGTGTACTTCAAGGTTCAGGTGAAAATTAGAGCACTTGCTTGGTGCAGATCCCAACACACTGTTTGTTCAGTTGAAGGTGTGTAGCAAGGGCTGCCTTGTGCTGTAGCCGGTCACCCAGGTCATTGCGTTGCCAGGGCAGGAGACTTTCACTGGGTTGAGAAGTGGAAGGATAGATGAAAGATGGAACATTTTTTAGAGAGGTAACTGGCTGGTTGGTTTCTTTTTTCACTTGCAGCTTACGTATGTTCCATTTCCTTCCACATGGGCGCTTGGCATTTGTGTTTTCATCCCTCTGCACATGACTGTTGCATCAAAGTAATTTGATTTTAACAATGTTTTGTGTTGTTTGAAATTATTTTCAGTGTTCTACATAATTGTGGCCTGCCATCAAATTCAGATCTGTCTCTATTGGGACAGTTTTACCCCCTTGGGTTTTGAGTTTGAGGTTTTATTATAACTGTTTCAGTGTTGAATAGTTTTATTTTATTTTATCTTTTTGAGACATGGTCTTGCAGCCCAGGCTGCTGGCTTTGAATTCCTGAGCACAGCCTTGGCTTGTGAATCTGTAGGTGCCCATCATCATACCCAGGGAAGTTTTAGATATCAAAATGATAGCTGTACATAGCAGATACCTATGCGGCTGTACATTCTTTATTTTGCCTTTCAGTTGACTTACCGTGTCCTTCAGATGTTGAGTGTAACCTAGACTTACGTCCCTTCTTAAAAGGTGGAGTTGACAAATAACATGACACTTCTAACCTGGAACTTCTCTTGGATTAGGTAAATCAAACATCAGTGTTTCAACTTCTCTGAAGTAAGGATGCATCTTACAGTTGACGTGTGTTGAATGGTTGGTGGGTGCCTTGCATTACCTCAAAATCCTGTGCTGTCTCCACCCCACACAAGGTGCATTTGACAGTTGAGGCTGTCTTAGGATTGTTAGTTCTGAGTTGCCATTTTGCATTTGTATATTATGGTGTTTGGGTATTTAGAGTTTTGATAGTTGTCATGGGATCTCTGACAGCGTCTGTCTTGTTCAGCTATGTTCAGTCAGGTAGAGAACATCCCCCTAGAGTCCTAGACAGTGAGAAGGTGGGTCAGCTCAGTGATGGCGTCGGAACTGGATTTGTTTTGTTCTCCAACTTAACATCTGCCCTCTGGTTCTTTTCAGGGCCCTTATTCATTTGAGACTGGCTGCCATTGGCAGTCAAAGCCATGCTTTTTTTTTTTTTTTTTAACTATATGAAGAAAGAATTTTTCTGTGGCTTTCTCCTATGAGTGAGGATATCTCATTCCCATATGTGTCCCCCAGAAAGTCTCTCCTTTTGTCCCACAGGCCCATGGAGTCTTATTTCTGCTCATTCTCGAACCAGTAGTGGCAAGGAGGGGGTAGAATGACCTTGATTAAAACAATGAATTGGGCTGAGGTCAGCCATGTGAGGATCCTATAATCTACCATAGGAACTTTGATTCACCTTCAGAATGCCCTTGGCTTCATGACATTGCACATGTTCCCTTTCCCCAGGGAGGCAACCCAAATAGGTATCCAGGTACAGTGTCATAAGATTCTCTGGGTGATACACCATTACTTATGTTATACCCGTGAGGAATTTTTTAATGCTCTGGTGCCTTATGACTAAATAAGTTATGCTCTTTAAAATGTTCAATCTATAATGGTAAAGAAATAACGGACCAATTGCAACAACATTTCTGTTTGTGAAAATAAGAAAATTGAAGAAGAGCTGCAAGTTGCTGACTTTGGTTGCCAGTCTGCAGCGTCTGGCTCTGCAGAAGTCTGTGTAGTATGCCACTCTCCTTGGTCATTGTCCTCTGGATGAAACGAACACTGGCAAAGTCCCTTTTTTTATGGTTTTGTCTGGCATGAGTTTGGGAGATTGTGATTGGTTGTCTCAGTTTGAATAGCTGGAGTAGTGTCAGCTGAGCTGGGAGTTTCTTTGACAGAATTTTTCCCATGAAATGTGAAGTTCTGGGTTTGTTTGCTTCTCATTCCAGCTAGTGATCTTATCTAGTTCTGGGAGGTTGTTTTAACATCAGGTCTGTCTGTCTGCTCATCTCCACTGCTTCTGCATGGAGGCGACTTTCAGTAGTGCAGGATGCAGAGGCACATGGTTTAGGTCCAAGGGACAACAAGGGAAGTTCAAGTCACTTTGATTTTGCTCCCACATTTTGAGAATGATGATTGTCTCTCCCAGACTGCAGTTGTGGGATTCACAGGACCCTCCACCTTTCTCTTCACTAACAATTCAAAGCTTAAAGTGGTTTTTAAGTTGTGGCAAAATGCACACTGTATTTAATGTCATAGCACATGTGTGTACAGTTCAGTGGCACTGAGTATATTCACACTGTTATAAAGCCATCACTCACATCTAGCCACAGAACTGTTAATGTTGCAAAGCCAAGCACACTAATTAACCGGCAGCTCCCTATTTCCCATTCATTTTTATTTGTAGAACCTCATTTGTTTGACGGAAAACCTGTAGTAGAGTTCTTTCTTGATTGCAGGCCACAGCAATTGATTCTAGTCAGTTTAAACAGAATGGGAATTGGTTGAAGAAACTTTCAAAGCATAGAAATACCTGTAAAGAAAGCAGAGGAGCCAGGCTTGGGAGTTGTCAGGGACCAAAACTGATGGGATGCCAGAATCACAATAGGTAGCGTATTTTATTTTTACTTGAAACTCAGCTCAGAAGTCACTTTTCAAAGCTGGGTACCCTTTCTCTTCATCTGTCCTCATACCCCAGACTCAGTAGCATCTTCCTTGTTAATCATTTCTACTACTTTAATAATGATGTCCGAAGGTCATTGTAGCAGTTGATCCCTTTTTTATGTGCCTGTTTGAAATAGATGAGACACTTCTCAGAACAAGGATTCTGTCCTATGAATTTGTCTCCCACCCTAAGCATAGTGTCAGGCCCACTGAGTGCTTACTTCAAAGAGATTAGACCAATTTATGAGATCATTTGGTCAGGAAAAACATACTCTTTTAAAAGATCTTTTTGAATTCTAATCTGTTCTGTAATTATAAGTTACCTTTCCTGTTTTCTTGTCTATACTTTTAGCTGGAATTTTATTCTTATTTTTCTGTAGGGTATTTTTTTCCTTGTGGTTCTGGGGATTGAACCTAGATGCTAGGCAGCTCTACCACTAATATATGCTTTCTGAAAAATTGTAAGTGAAAAACTTTTCCAATTCTTCAGTCCCAAGAGAGGTAATTGTGTTCAATAAAAGGACACAGGTTCACTGTGTGTGTGTATGTGTGTGTGTGTTGAGGATTAAACTTAGGGTTTTCTCAGTGGGCTACATTCCCACCCCTTTAACAAATCAGCTTTGTTTCAAGATAGGATCTAACTTGTTAAATTACCGTGGCTGAGCTTGAACTTGTAACCCTCCTGCCTTGGATTCCTAAAGTGCTGGGATTATAGGGATGCACTGCCACACCCAACTACAGGTTCACTTATACAGTTTCCCCATCATTCTTTTTTTTTTTTTTATTTAAAGAGAAAAAAGAAAGGACATAAAAAAACAAAGCAGTAAAAGGGTACAAGTAATACAGAATTTCAAGAAAAAAAATATACAGTAAGAAATCACTAGTTAATAGGTTACATATTGTCTTCCTAGAATCCCCATCATTCTTAAAAGGGCAATAAGGTTGTTGAAATGGTGATTACCAATACCAGATCATCCTCTTGGAAGTGACTTTTCCTTTCTGACTCTAGGATTCATGCTCCCTGGCCAAGAAAGGTCATGTCCTTGTGGCCTCTGAGTTGAGTCATCACAACATACTAGGAAAACTGAGTCTCTCCCACAATGACAAGTGCTTTTTGAAATTGAGATTTGCTAATCCACCTCATGGTTGTCCACAGAATTGGACACAGAATCATGTATGTGCTATGTGCTAATGTCATGATGTTACGGGAACTAACTTGTGTGTAGTCAAAACAGTGTATTATATTCATGAAAACTGCTGAGAATAGATTTTTAAATATCCTTACCACAAAAACGTGAGGCAAAATGTATTAATTGGCTTGATTTTACCATTCTGCAATGTATACATATTTCAAAAGTGTAGATAATATTATTTGTGCCAATTAAAAATACAAAAAATGAACATAAATCTTCAGAGCAGTACTGTGAGTTAGATATATTGTTATCCTTATTTCATGGGTGTGGAAGCTGAGGCATGAGGAGTTAATTTGCCCAGGGTCACACAACTAGTAAGCAGCAGGGATGGGAGTGGAGCGAGAACAACCTGGCTCTTGGCACCAAGAGTGGAACTGTTGTCCAGTGAGTGTCAGAGAGTTTCCCTGGAATGGGGATTGGACCAGGAGGGGAGGGCACTGCTGACTGTTGAAGTCAGAGCGGCTGGATATGAACAGCCTGTGGGCCTTAACAAGGAACAGAGACCGTATTGCTTGAGGCTCTTTAGAAACTTGTTAAGACCTGGACTTTTCTAAAGCTCACTGGGGGACTGGAGATAGCCCAGAGGTACAGTATGTGCTTTAGAATGTGGGAGGACCCGGCCAGTAAGTAAATCAATGAAGCTTGCATGCATCGCTGGGGAGAATAGATTTGAGTTGGGACAGTCCTACAAGGTCATGTGCTAGTAGATTTGGTGGTGATGATAGTGGGAATGGAAAAGGGTAAGGACTAGAGGTATTTTATATTTTGGAGGAATATCTCACTGTCTGTAGTTAATGCTTGATTAGGTGAGGAAAAAAGATGCGCTCAGAATAATTCCCCAGTCTTGTTGCTTCAGAAGATTGTATGGCTAGCCAGAGGGAAGACATCTATATTTATTAAATAGCTAATGCAGTGGCTCTAAGCTGGGGTCTCTCTTACCTTCCTCTCCCTCAGAGAACATTTGACAGTGCTTGCAAGTGCAAGGGACATTTTGTTGGTGAAGGCCAGGGCTACTACTAAACATCTTACAAATCTCTGGACAGCCCCACAACAATTATTGTGCACACCTGCCAAGAGAGCGGACATTGGGAAACCCCACAGTAATACATTTGCTTTTGCATGGTTGCTTAATTAATCCATAAACTGATCATTGAGACCATGCTATTCTTCCTGTTTCTTTTTCTGATCAAAAAGCTGAGATGAGAACAAATCACTTAGTCAGTGCTATATAGTTAATAAGCACCAAAAGTGAACTTTGCACTCCAATCTTTGTACGTCAAAAGCACAGAATCAGAAGCATACCTTTTTGACTTCTCCGTGCTGTTTCATTCCTCATAGTGATGCAAAGGAAGGAACACACTAGGTTGTGAGGTGCATTTTGGTAGTGGTGGCTCCAGACTAGAGGTGGCAGGAAGCAAGAAGGGTATTTATAGTAAGCTCTGCAGTGGATCGAATTTTATAATCTTGAAGGACTTGACTGCGGTAGTTCAAAGAACTATCAGTGAGATTATATAAATACAGGAACATTTGCCATCTTTTTTTTTAAAATGCCTCTATGATTAAGATAAAATGTAAAAATTATAGTTTAAAGCCCTACTATTCCCTGGTGGATGGAAAATCCTACAAGCATCCACATTGATTATTATCTTTTGTGAAAGGATCAGATGAAAAATGGAACTTGAAAAATTATATAAGACTCATCTGTATTTTAAAGTAGTTGAGGTATTAAAAATAGTTTGATTTGATAGAGGTGAGGAATCCTTTTGAGAATCAGTTTGAGTTTAGTGTAGACCTTAATAGTTATCAGCCAATTCCCAGGAAGAATTTGAATATAGGAAACACCCTTCCTTGGTGACCCTTCATTACTGGTATTTCTAAAGTTTTATCTTTTATCCTTAACTTGGTCTTTGGATTGGGCTCTGAATGAACCTGGAACTGACATAGCTGCTTTTGTAGGAGTCACTTCTCTGTGTAAAAGAAACAAAAGTCTTTCTGTTCGTTCCATGTCTTATTTTTTTGCCAGAGGCATTTGGACTGCTGGGACCAGACAGTGAGCATAAAGTTTGACTACTGCACCTCTAGGGGCTGTTGTCCTGAAAGGTGCTAGAACACCACAGTTGAGACAGCGGTTCTCTGGGGGAAAGTTGCTGGCTATATCACCCAGTCTTCTGGAAGATAAGCCCTTAGAAGGGTGTGGGGCAGGGGTGGAGTCATGGAGTTTGGTAAGCAGACACAGCCCCAAACCATATGGTGGGAGAGACCAATGCAAGTTCATTTTTCAGTTATGGCACAAATTAAAACAAAGTGAGATGAAAAGCATGAAGTAGCTAAGTGGTAGAGGGTCCGCCTTGCATTCCTGAGCCCCCAGCTTTGACCCTCAGTAACATACAGGCTTTGTTTTGTTGTGTTTTTAAATGCAAAAGAGAGAAAAAGAGAGTTTAAAACTGCTCAGTTTAAAAACATCTCTGGTGGCTATCCTGGATTATAGTGTGGCTCTGAACTAAGCAGTTTCTTCAAATTTCACATGTATAATGTGAAAGCTGTGATGGGAAATTTTTTTTAAATTAAAGGGACAGATCTTAAACTCATTGAAGAATAGCTATAAAAATAACATTGTTTATCTATTATTGTTAATATTACTCATCGGTGAACTAATGGTTATATATGTTTTATCCCCCAACTCCAAAATGTCCCACTGAAGAATGTCTTGCTCTAATGTTACTTTCCTTTAGGAAGAACAATTAATCATGTGTTTCTCCTCCTGTGGTGAGAAGGCAGCAAGCAACATGATACAGTACAATATGTTTGTAAGCATAACTAAGGTAGATCCCTTTAGAGGGAGAACATCATTGCCATCACTAAAGGTAATTTGCATATTTGTGAAGAAATACAATTCTCAAATGAGTGAAATCCACATTAACAGAGTGATTTTTATGTGACAAGTGATAGTGTTTTACTGAAGGTATATTACCATCTGTGCTCAAAAAGTGCTGACTGTTAGAACAGGTTTTTTTCTTTTCTCAACTGTCATATGGTAAGTGATGATAACTTACTGTTTTCTTTTATTTCTTTTGTTCAGAGCTCTGTTGTACTCTGTGGTGGAACATGAAGACACCATTGACCTAATGTTAGATAAGCTGGAGCCATGGCAGAAATGCTGCTGCTGCTGTCTTGGCCATGACTTCAAGGGCTGATTGGAGCCCAGAAGTCCTAGGGAGTGCTAAGTTATGTACAGTGGTCATGTTTACACATACGACTCCTGCCCTACCATGACCTGACTTACTGTCTTTTGACTTTATGCTAGTGTGACAGTCTGTGCAATGTTGTCTGTTTTACTTTCTGTATTCAGTAAAATATGTGAGATATTGACACTGTCATAGAATGTTTTATGTTAGATGATGTGCCCAACTTTAGGCTAAGGCAAGTGTTCTGAGCATGTTTGAGGTAGACTGAGCTAATAAGGTATGATATCTGGTAGGTTAGGTATAGTAAATGCAGTTTTTAATTATGACATTTTCAGCCTATAGTAGATTTTACTTGGATGTAACTTGTATGTTGAGAAACACTTGAATTAACATATTAAAATCATCGTTGTCTGAGACTTGTTGTGTCAGATGTGGTCTTTGCTCTCAATGAAGTCATCTCCTACAGGGATAGAATTGTTATGGGTAGTAAAGCCTCTATGGATGGCTGATACACCATTACATGGCTGTGGTTTGTTACATTATGGATGACTGCAGGTAGTCCTTCCTGGTAACTTGCATCTATTGAAACTGTCAGTGAGATCTAAGACATCTTGTGCATCTGTTATTTGCGTTTGCATAGATCTTGACTTAATTTTAAAGATAGTTTGATAGTTAAAATTTTCCTGCTAACCAAAGGAGGGAACTACAGGCCAATCTCCTTAATGAACATAAATGCAAAAATGCTCAATAAAATATTGGCAAACAGAATACAGCAAATCATCAAGAAGATTATATACCATGACCAAATGGGATTCATCCCAAGAATGCAGGGGTGGTACAACATACACAAATCAATATATATAATATACCATATTAGTAGAGCCAGTGACAAGAATCATATGGTCATCTCAATAGATGCAGAAAAAGCTTTGATAAAGTCCAACACTCATTCATGATAAAAACCTTACAGAAAATTGGAATAGATGGTCTTTACCTTATCTGATAAAAGCCACATATAATAAACCAACAGCCAGCATGTTACTAAATGAACAAAAACTGAAGGCTTACACACTAAAATCAGAAACAAGACAAGAATGTCAGCTATCACTGCTCTTATTCAATATAGTTCCGGAAACATTAATCAGAGCAATTAGACGAGAGAAAAATAAAAGAAATAAGGAGAGGAAAAGAAGTTAAATTATCATTGTTTGCGGATGATGTGATACTCTACATAGAAGACCACCAAAACTCCACTTAAAGATTCCTAGATCTAATAAATTGAGCAGCATAGTTAAATACAAAGTCAACACTCAAAAATCAATAGCATTCCTGTTCACAACAAACTCACTGAGAGAGAAATAAGAGAAACTATACTCTTTACAGTAGCACCCAAAAAAATGAAATACTTAGGAATCAGACTAACAAAGGAAGTAAAAGATCTATGCATTGAAAATTACATTATTCTGAAAGAAGAAATCAAAGAGAATTCAGAAAATGGAAAGACATTTCTTGTTCATGGATAGGAAAAACATTGTGAAAATGACCATTCTCCCAAAATTGTTGTGTAAATTTAATGCAATACCAATCAAAATACCACTAACATACCTCACAGATACAGAGAAATCATTTCCTAAAATTCATATGGAACCAGAAGAACCCTTGAATAGCGAAAGCAAATCTGGACACCAAAGGCAAGGCAGGAGGTATCACAATCCCTGACTTGAAATTACACTACACATGGTACTGCCAAAAATATACCTGAACATCAGTGGAATAGATTAGAAGATACAGCCACAACTACAAGGTCACTGGAAGAAAGATAGTCTCTTTAACACTGGCTTTCCATATGCTGAAAACTAAAACTAGACCCAGTCTGTCAAGGTGCACTAAACTAAAGTCAAAATGGATCAAAGATCTAAATATTAAAACAGAAACACTAAATCTGTTGGAAGACAAAGTAGATATAAATCTTTAAGTCTTAGAGGTAGAGAGTTCATGAAAAGAAATCATACTGCATGGAAAATACTTCCCAGAAGTATTTTCTGGGATCCCTTCTTATTAAAAAGTTTTTGCATCTCAAAAGAAATCTCCAACAGAGTAAAAAGAAAACCCACAAACTGGGAAAAAATCTTAGTCATTTGTGCCTCAGACAAAGGACTTACATCTAGAACATAAAAAGAAGTAAAAAAGATTAGGTTCCCAAAATTCAAAAATCCAATCCAGAAATGAGCATTTGAGATGAATAAGCATTCAGATGAAGCAATACAAATGGCAAATAAATATATGAAAAAATACTGAGCATTATTGGTCATTAAAGAAATGCAAATTAAAACAATGCTATGATTTCATCTCATTCCGGAAAGAATGGCCAAGATCAAGAAATCAACCAATAAAAAATGCTGGAGTGGCTGTGGGGGAAAAAGAACTCTGTTCCACTGTTGGTGGGAGTGTAGGCTGGTGCAGCCACTGTGGAGGGTCCTCAGAAAACTAAGATCAGAGGTTTCATTTGACCTAGCTATCCCGCTTCTGGGCATTTTCCCAGAAGAATTGAAACATCATAACAGTGATTTATGTCAGCATGTTTATAGAAGTACAATTTATAACAGCCAAATCTTGGAAACAGCTTAAATGCTCAGCAATGGAGGAATGGATGAAAAAGATGCAGTATTTTTATACAATGGAGTACTACTCAGCTATAAAGTAAGACTGTATTGAGGCTTTTATAGATAAATGTATGAGATACGGAGGCCATACTTATACGTGAAATAAATCATACTCATGCATAGATACCGTATTCTCTCTATAGTGTAAGAAACTTAAAGAGTAAGTAAGATCCAAAATCTATGATAGATGTATTGAAAGAATAAGAAGGGGAAAAATAACTAGGATAGGGAAAAAGAGAAAAGCAAGGAAAAAGGAAAAAGATATAAATTTATTAGATCAATTTGCACATGTGTATTTCATAATCTAAGCAACTCTTTTGAAGATAATATGCAGTATTACAACCATTGTTAAATTCCTATCATTTTTTGAAAATGTATATTGTTATTGTTTGGGTTTTTCTTGTTCTTGTAGTTTTTATGTCTCATTTTTTGGTTTTCTTTTCCATTTTTTTAAAAAAAAAGTTCTCCTGCTAAACAAATGCAAATCATGTAGTCACCAATTTTCCCATTCTTTAGCAATCCTTTTTTTTATTATCGCCATCGGATGACCTGTGCATTTCCCAATAGGTTAATGCTTTTTTTTTCCCCTCAAGGCAGAGAAAAATCAATTATCGTTGATCTGCAGTGCCTGGCCACATTGAGCTGGGTCACTGTGCACTGGTCATTGTTTCCCTGGTACCTCAGTGACCACACTTAGTTGTACTGTTTTTCTATGTAGCTTTGGTGTCTCAGCTTTAAAAAGGTACGGTGCAAATCCCAGCATTCTGGAAAGCTAAGGCAGGAAAGCTGCAAGTTCTACCCTAGCCTGGGCAATTTAGCAATTTTCTGAGACCCTGTCTCAAAATACAGAATAAAAAGGGTGGATAGATAGCTTAGTGTGAAGCTCTTGGGTTCAATCCTCCATACTGAAAAAAAAAATCCCTTTTCCTTTTAAGATTCTTAGCGTCAGGTCACAATAGAATAAGGAGTAACTTATTTTTTTAAAGATGTATTCTGCGCATAGTGAAATGAACATTGTCATTCAAGGTGGTTTCTTATGGGGAGGGGTCCTAGAGTTACTCTTACTGGGGTGACTATGGATCTCTGCATTTCTTTGCCAAAACTACCTTCTCAGCCAGCTTACCAGCCAGCCTATTCTCATTACATTAGTATAATTCCACATTGAAATGATCTTTCCTGGGTTGAGCACTCATCTCAGTCACCGTAGATGATTTAAAAACTGTTTCTAGAATTAAAATTTATCCCCAGAGATGGAGCAATTGTTCCCCCCTCAGAGCGCTGGCTGTGATGCGATCTCGGCTTCAGTGGGGCCGACTAACTGACTAGGAAAGACTGTCCAAGAAGTTGTTGAATGATGACTTCACTGTTGAAATGAGTATCTGATTTTCATGGTGATTAGAATGATACCAGTGTTCTTACAGTTTGAAGATACTGAAGAAGAATCAGTCACTGTTTAATGTTTGTATCTTGCAGAGTTGTTAGTGTCAAAAGAGAAACTTGGGACATTTTATTCTGTTGTAACTAAAATGAAATAGAAATTATTGATGAATTTTTATACAGTAGAAATGTATAGAGATGGTCTTAACTTATTCCATGTATCACTTCATTTGCTTGTATATTTTTACTGTGTTGCAGTCAAGATTTACAAGGGAATAGATTTAATACAGGACATATAATTTATAGGATTATTTTATAATAATCATACAAAAAATCAAATGCAGAAGAGCACAAGAGATCTGTTTATACACTAGAGACTCAAAAGAGTCCAGCTGGGCACCTGGATCCACTGGCAGTGTCCTACATGTATTACCTTAGCAGTGTCCTCCACGGGTCCAGCTAAAGACCTGAGCCTGCAACAGTGTCTCCCGCAAGTCTGTATCAAGGATCTGCACTGGAAAGGCCCAAAGATCACGGTGGAAGTTAAAGTCTGGGTGAGTAAGATGCAGGGTCTGTGGCAGCAGGCTGAGGGAGCTGCACTGGAGCGAGGAAGCAGTGTTCAAAGTAAGGACAAAGCTCCCCGTAGAGAACCACAGTCATCATCAGTGACAGCGAGGACCCAAGGAGTTCCTTTAAGATAACAGCTGAGCTCATATCAGGAAAACCAGGTGACACACTTCTCCAGGAGAATTAGCAGCACACCATCTTAGGCTGATTCTGCTTTTATGCTGTTGGCAGCAGTCCTCAGGTGGACCCTCCACACCCAGAACCTTGCTAATTCATACTGAATCAATTCCTCTTGGTGTTATAAGTTGACCACTATTTAACCCACCACTTAATATCGCTGACTTTTTTTTTTTTTTTAAATAAACTCTTGATAGAAACCTGTTTTTTTTTTTTTTTTTAAATACAAGGTTTTGTTACGTCATCCAGGCTGGCCTGGAACTCACTATATAGCCCAGGCTGGCCTGCCATTCACAATGATTCTCCTGTTTCAGACTCTTGCGTGCTGAGATTACAGGCATGTGCCACCAGGACCAACTGAAGTCTCCATTTTCATAGAAGTTTGGTGGTTTTACTTTTGCTATTGGTTTCTGGGTAATTAGAAATTGAGTAACTTCCTGAGAGATTCCGTATTGAATGCTGCAGTTCATTTGGGTTTGGATTTTATTTTGTGAGGTTTGCAAATGTGCACTCACAGTGTAGTTTAGAGCCTGTCATCTTCAAGTATATTTTTTTTTTTGGTAAATATTCTTATCCCTCTAAATATTTTAAGTCCTAAACTCTTAAGTTAAAATGAAACATATCATGGTTTTGGCCAAGAAAGAACAACAGTAGAAAAAAGGAGAGGCAAAACAGATTTGCTCCACACAAGCAAATCACTGTGGAGAATCATCTTGCTGGTTTATTGTTTTATTAGGTCAGCAGTAGGTAGTCCTAGTTTAAAAGAGATGCTAGAGGTCAAATGTGCTTTGTCCCCCACCAGACACTATGTTGGAAGCCTGATCTTGAATATGGAGATCCTGGATGTGGAAAGTGGAAGTGGGCGCATTGTGTGTTGAGGTGTTCTTGAAAGACACTAAAGTATTTTTTTGTGGCAGGACTTTGGTTAGTTCTAGAGAGCAGATTGTTCAAGAACCTTGTCCCTGGTCCCTTTTCTGGCTTTTTGCTTTTGAGATGTCCTCTCTTCCTCCCATGTCGACTTCCACTGTTCATTCTAGACCATAGTCTGTGCCACACAGTTTGGACTATTGGCTAGAATGAGATCTTGCCTCTTTATAAAAATAGTCTATTTTAGATGTTTTCTTACAGTGGAAAAAGAAAAAAAAAAAACTTGACCAATATAGTGAGTCTGGATAATAGTCAAAATGTGTATGTTTTGCTTGGAAGTGTTTGAATGTAGTATCTAATGAGATGGTGATCTCAGGCTTTGAAGAGTGAAAATAAAGGAAATGATGTACTATCCTGATATTACCATACATACAGCTCTATGATACCTTTTTGTTCTTGTCAGAAAATGTTGAAATTTGATGTTTTCTATTTAAAGCAGTGTCAGGGGTGGCGTCATAGCAGGGGCCTGTAAGGGCACATCTGGATTACTTGGCATGCCCAGCATATCCTGCTGGGGACTTTTGAGGGCACACCTGGTGCACTTCTGGTTCTCATGGACTTGGGCCTGAAATCTGTGATACAAAGTGAAAGGGTTGTTACATGGGGACTTTGCCACACGTTAGTGCTTTTGTAGCTGCCACACACACTGTCTTTTCTGTGGTATAATCCGTGTCCCAGAGGAGCTCCTAAGTAGGGAGGGCTGGAGGAAGGAGTGCTGTACTTCATCCTGCAGATGGAGGTGAGGAGAGGTAATCTGGGAAGTTGGCAGATTTTAGCTGGCCGGGAATTTGAGGATTTTAGGTGACAGCTGGTGGTGGCAGCAGGGGAATGCAGCCTATGTCAGGATGGGTAATTGGGCACCCGGGCGGGGGTGAGATGGAGCTTCCTGAAGGTGAAATGGTACTGTACTGTTTTGTAACAAAGCTACAGAAAGAACAGAAACATTTCTGTCCCTGTTCTCTGTCATGGTTTGTTTTTCATCCCAGCAGATGGGAAAACAATTGTTACTTGCAAAATGAGAAGGCTAGAAGAAAAAAGAGTGAGTATGATTTTGGGCCACTCAGAGATAAGTGAGCAAATGTTCTTAATTGTTTTGTGTTAGGTGTTGTCCACTAATTCCGAATTGTTCTAAAGGAGACTGATAGGAGAAACTTGAGCGATGTGGGGAGTTAGATGACCATGGCCCAGACTTGACCCTGAAAATGGATGGAGTACGCCGTTAGCAGATGATGACAGATCTGCCAGGCTTTAGTTCTCCTTTGTGAAGCGCATACTTTCTTGTGGCTGCCTGTTGTGCTCTGTGCTGCAAAAGAGTTGATCAGAAGCTCTGACCAACTCCTCATGCCCTTCCTCAGCAAGTGTTAAATGGTATGAGGAGTACAGCTGTTAACAACTTTTCTTGTAATAGCTTTTCAGGTAAGTATTCATCTGAAATTTTAGAATTGATATTGAGGTGGTCTCAATATCAGGAACCAACTTTCAGATGTTGAAGTCAATATAATTTAGTAACAATGGGAAACTCATTATTAAAGCACTCTAAATGTTAATCTTTTTTTTTCTTTTTTTTTAAGCTCAGTTTTGGGAAGCAGTCCTAGAGACTTCCCTGGAAGAAAGTTTAGCTAGATAAAAGGCAATGATTGTCAATTTCTTCCAGATCTTTCTTGGGTTGCTTTAACTGTTGTTGAAGAAGCAATCTTTTGGAACATATACAGTCTTTTGGGACATATACTCTTTCTGAGTAACAGTCATACTGAGATTAAAATAATGGCACGCATGCCACTAAAATTTCACATGGTAATACAGAGAAGGCCTTGAATTCTGTGTGACAGAGTAAGGACTTCTGAAACACTATACCATAAAGGTAATGAGACTATTGTAAAACCCATCTACGTAACACCATATCTCATTAGGATGAGTGGTCAAATGGTGTTTCAAGTTATCTTTCTCCTATTTCCCCCTTTCTATCTCCATGGTGGGTTTGGAAGCCAATAAATTTGCAACTATGGGAGCTCTGAAAACCATCAACTCAGCATCTGCTAGATGGGTAGAACATAACTGCAGCTTCCCCAAAGAACCATCCCAAAGAAATGTCACCATGTAGATTGTCTGGAAGCTTGCTTACTGGCCTCTTTCTGAGGGTTTGTCTTTATTTGATCTGATTAAGCTCACTCCATGTAAACATCTCTAACTTGAAAACAGTCAGTGTTAATTGTTTAATGACAGCGGCATGAGACCATGTGCTATTTGAGGCCAACCAGTGACTGACTCAAAGAATTCGCAAAGGAAATGTCCATTAACATTCTCTGAAAAATGCTGGACTATTCCTAAAATTCTAAAGTTCTGTGTATGCCCTGGAAAGACTCCTGAGAAGACCCCGGGAGGCCCTAAGTTGTAAACTGACAGACCTTGACACAGTGTGCAAGCAGAATGTGAAGCCTGAAATAGAGTTAGAAACTGTCCAGAGGAACTTTGAAGGCTCAGGTATATGCATGCATGCACGTGCATGCACACACACACACACACACACACACACACACACACACACATCCTAGTAAAGGCTAAAAAAGATATAAGTTCATGCACAATGGCTCTACTTGAAAAAATGTACAGATATTACAGAATTAATTTAGGAGAATCACTAAAAAGCAATGAAGCAAACTGATGGTGGGTAGAGTGGAGAGAAGGAATCTGATTCCCAGGATTGACTCATTGTATTATTTAAAATTTCAGTTTTTTGACAGAAGATTAGAAGATATCTAAAGAAACAGAAAAATATAGCCCATACACAAGAAAATCAGTAGTTAACAGATAAGCTCCTTGAGGAAGCTCAGATGCTGGATGCATCATACATAACTTCAAACTCCTATGATTGATATATTCAAAGAACTGTGAGAAAGAGAATTAAACTATAGGAAATGAGAGTTAAGTGAAAAGATGATTCAGAGAATGTGAATGAAGAGGAAGAATTATTTTTTTTAAAGAACCAAATAGAAATTCTGGATTTAAAAAGTACAGTAGCTGAAATGAAGCATTCATTAGAAGGACCAAGAGCAGATTTGAACTGGCAGAGGAAAGAACCAGTGAAGCAGAAATCAGGTTAGTTGAGAGATCTAATCCAAGGAGAAAAAAAAGTGGAGAAATGAATGGAACGTTTGATACCTGTGTGACATTATTTGTACACCCATAGTGTACAGAAAATGAAAGAGGTAAAGGAACAGAAAGAAAGTATGCTGTGAACAGTCGTATGATACTAAGTTAGATAAATTAGATGAAATGGACAAATTCATACAGGTAGAAATTACAGTAACTGGACTAAATTTAAAAATCTGAATAGACTAATAATACGTAAAGAGATTGAACTGATAACTATAATTTTCTCCACAATGAAAATGTAGATGAGATAGCTTACCATATGAAATTATTGAGTGAATTCTAACAAAGAAATTAATCAAGGAAAATGTGACTGGAGTTGAGACTGGAAAAGAAGTAAATGTGTCTGTAGTTACAGATAACATGAACTTGAACATAGTAAATCATAAAACACACACACACACACACACATACAACTAATGCATGATTTCAGGAAGTTTGCAGGATATGAGAACAATGCAAAAGATCCAGAAATGAAATAAAAACCATTGCAGGTATAATAGTGCCCCCAATAAAACATGTGTGAATAAATTTGACGAAAGAAGTATAGTACTTATCTACAGACTACAAAGTAATGTTGAAGGAAACAAATCCATAATAGGAGAGGCACCCCATATTTGAGGATTAGAAGTATTAAGGTGACAGTCCTCCCTACATTGATTCACAAATTCAGTGTAATACCTTTTAAATCTCAACTTGATTTTTTGCAGAAATTTTAACACTCACAGGAAATATAAGGAACACAGAATATCCAAAGTAATCTTGAAAAAGAACAAACGTGTGGAACTTACACTTAGTTTTTAAATTTTAAACTGTATTAGTCATTATG